GAGAGGATGCCAGCACTGTGTGCTCAGACTTGTTTGTGTGAGGGCAGGGTCTTTGTGACTTGCCTTCCTGAAGCACCGAGTGTTAGGACTTGTCAGTGGAAGATGTTGCTATGTGGCATTGTTCTGGCACTGTTATCTCTGTACCTAAATATAGGTTTGAAAACTTTGATGCCACCATCTGTGAAGGAAGACTTTCTCTAGGGACTATTCCTTTAAGTCACCTTTCAGAGATACTGGTGTGGGATTTTTAAAACAGTAACTATTTAACAAAGCATTTGTGACATTTGGCAAAATGTGGGCAATGTTATGGGATTTACGATGAATTCCTTATACTTTTCTTCCCCAAATCTCAAAAGGCAAATGTTGGTGTAAGTGTGATGAGACATCTTCACTTCACAGGGGGAATACTTTATGTGAAACTGTGTGTTTGAAATCCAGTTCCAAGTGGTCATTCCCTGTAACCCCTGTGCCAGGGGTTGCTGGGACTGAGCAGTGTTTTGCCTCCCCAGTGCTGTCTGTATCTTTGTGGTGGCTGCAGCAGTGTGAGGGCAGCTGCTCTTACCTAGAAGCAGAAAAAAATTGCTAAATCCCACAAAACTGCTAAATCCTTTGTTTGTTCCAAATGAAAAGGGAATATCTCAGAAAAACTATATAGGAGACATTGTAAAAAACTATTTTGAAGGCATTATTGTGATGTTAATAAACCTAAATTATTGATCATTATTTTTAATAAGGAGCATTCCAGCTTGGTTTATATGCCGTTTTAGTTGCTCTTTGTAAAATTTTTTGGCATTTCACACAATGGTTGTCAGTCTAATGACAAGTGTGATTCTTACCTGGTTTTGATCAGGCACACATAGACATGGAAACAATTGCTACTTCTGGTATGTAACACCTTATCTTGAAAGAGAATTTGGGAGAGATATTATTAGAATAACTACTAGCTTCCTAAGAATAATTATCCTACTGTGACTTAGGGGGTGTTTTCAAGTCTCAGAAATTAAAGTTGCTTCTTATGTATACAATTCATGTTTTATCTACAGGACATAACTCTTTCTTGACAAGACAAACTAATCACTTTTTAACTGGTTGTTAGTGCTTTGCCATTAATGAGCAAGTCAGGCAAATGATAAAAGATTTATGACCATTCAGATATTGTTCACAGTTCAAAAAATATATGCTTTAGATCCATATGGACAAGATTATTTTGGATTTGTGTTTTACAGCAGCATTTCAAAACTTGTGTTGAAGCTTACTCTAGGAGGTTCATTTTAAATGAGTAAATGTTTGGCGTTGTTTTTTGTGTAGAAAGATTTCAGGTTTTGTAAAACCAAGATGATTTCAGGTGCACTTTTCTTATTTTCTTACCCAAACAATTATAATGACATACATGTTTTAATCTCTCCATTATATAAATAGATAAAATACTTCTGAAAGGGAGAAAAAGTAAAACTAAATACTCAGAAGTTGCTGAAGTTTTTAATTTTTAAAAATTGAAGTTTCTCTTCAATGTCAGTAATTTTAGGTATTTTTAGCTACATGGCACAATGTCAGTATGCAGACAGATTAGTTTTATTTATTTATTGAGATGATTGTGTCACTTTCTTTAAGGTACTGATTTACAAGTGAAGTGCAAATTGATGATTGCCAAAATTATTTTTAGTTCTGTGTGTAAGTATCAATGTCTGGCTATGTTATCTTTGTAGATAAATTAAAGAAAAACTTCTGCAGCCTCTGTTTTTCAGACCTTTTGGTTTTCTAAAATACTTTGTTTTGCCTCCTGGTAGCTTGAGATGGAGAGGATTCTTCTTGTCATTGCAGAGGTGGATAAATATAGAGCCTTTCTGAATTTAGGTTTGTGTCCACAATGCCAGCTGATAGTTCCCCTCTTCCTAAGTGAAGATTCACCTAATATAAATACTTGCACATTTAAAGCAGATGATAATTAGGAGGACAAAGACCTCCCCAGGAATGAATGTACTGAACTTTTTTATCTTGTTTAAGCCCTAAGTAAATTTACAAGCCAGACCACAGAGCTATTAACTGTATTTGCTTGTAAAACTTACTCTGTAAACTCTCTTTGACTAAACATCCATTGACTTTTTCTGGTGAAAATGGACTGTAAATTGCTATAAATGGAGTTAAGTTTCAAATGCTAAGTTTAAAAATCAAAAGAAAGTAATGCACCACTCTATAAATACATATGTATGCACTACAGAAGAATGATTAAGATTGGGCTCTGTTTCACTTATATAGCTTAATTTTCATGTAATTTGTAGCAGTGAGTAGCTGTGCTTTCTTCTAGCACAATAAGTAGACTAGAGGCTATAAATGTATACTTCAGGCTCTGCTATCAGAATTGCAGGTGATTCTGGCAATGTGACCCCACTGCCATGTGACACAGGGACATTAATGTGAGACTAAAAGTTAGGACTATTCCAGGGCTGTTCTACTGCTCCAGTACTATAGTCCTAGAATAGCACCAAGGGTTTTACGCAGCAGGAGCGCCCTGTTAATCACACAGCATTGCTCTAACATTCCTAAAGGCTGAAGATACTTATTTTTAGCATGTCTCGCCTTGAATGGTGAGTTTCAGCATTCATAATAATATTTGTGAAGTGGTTTTTTCCATCCTTTTCCCTTCAAATTCATTCTCTTAAGTTACCCTCTTCTTTTATATGCTGACTTTAGTGACTTAAGACCTTATTGGAAAATATATGAACAATGAGTAATATAATGTGACTGTCACAAGTGGATCTCTCCTATCTGTGATAAAGCAGGAAAAGGTAGTACCCTTTTATGAGCATTTACCACTGTAAAAGCTGACAGCTTCTAAAGTTAAGCATGAAACACCATCTTGGGAAATCCTTTTTAGCACTTGCCCTTTGCAGTTTACCTTAATCTTTGAGATAGAAGCATATCCCTTTATTGGTGACATGAATAAACCATTGGACTTTCTTCAGAGATAACAGCTAATTTAAAGGTGAGATTGAATCAGTTGTTGAAAATAGTCTATTTGGAGAAGCTTAAATGGCTTCACATATCTTAGTGTCTCACTGAATTGATTTCTGCCCCATCTCTCATGTGTTCTTGGAGGGAGAGATAATAATCATTTTTAGCAGAAATAGGACTGAAACCGCTTAAATTGCAAATTTAAGCAATGACATGCATCTTGACATGCATCTTTTTTTTCTGTTGAGATTTCATTTAACAGTGTTTTATCTTAACTGATGACAATAAAAGCCCTACAGAAGTCAGTTTTTAGGGAGTTGTTATATAGAAGATAAAGTCCCCATTTAGAAACCAGCAGTAAAATTAGTGGCATACTTTAATCATCAGGAAAGGACTGGCCAACAGCAGTAAGTTTCTAGAAATATGTAAAGGTCAGGTGCTTGCTTCCTGAGAATTTCCAGCAACAGCTGGAGTTGACAGATGATGTTTTAGGGAAGAGTCTCTGGAACTCCTCATCATCAGCCTCAGCAGTTCTCCTGCTCATCAGTTATTTTATTTGTTTATAGTGTTCAACTATTTAAAGTGAAAATCCATTATACTCTACTGTTCTGAGAAGTACTTTGTCAGTTAAGATACAGTTATGGCGATTGGAATCTGTGTAGAAATACCCGTAGGCTTTTGGTTTTGGGTTTTTTTTTTTTTTCATCTACTGTGGGCACTGTGAAATACTAAATTTTTATCTGTAATATGTCTAGATGTTTTGTTAAAGCTTTTGGAGGTGGATGTGATTTCATTTGAAATTTCTCACATTTCCTTAGCCATGATTAAACTAAAATTAAATGTGATTACTTTGTTTTCATCTATGTGGATTTCACATATTTCACATTACAGGCAATGTGCGGAATAAATGTTTTGCATAGGTTCATATTACTGATGAGGTTCATGTAAAAATAGAACCTGTTGATCATGTGCTTTACAAATCATGGTATGTCTATTTCCTTTAAAAGCTGAGATTGTAAACATGCAACTAAATTATAAGAATGTGTCATTCTTCATTTACTACATTTTTGTTCTCATTAAAGTCAAAGCTGTGACAATGTTAAAGCAAGGCAGTGAAAAGGAATCAGCCAGAATTTTAGGAAAAGCCATAAACTGCATTCACAGCCACATGTTTTTCTTGACTAGCAAAATATGACACAGTGGATCCCAAATTAGACTATGCAGGCAGAGACTTGCATCAAAACAAGATGATGTGGGAACTGTGTTAAGCAATTACAGTCTAGTTTGTGTACATGGAGTTCAGCTTTTAACTTCACACAGTGCTGTGGCAGCAACAGAAAGATGCATGAAAGCATGTGCTATGTGGATACTTGGTGTTTTGGGAGCTGATTTCCTTTCAGGAAGAAAGCCAGTGGGCAGTTCAGTTGTCTTACTTGATGGACTGGGGATTCTGCAAGGTTGGGTCTCGTTGTTCTAGTTGCCTAGTAATGTCTGAAAATGCACCAAAGTGCTACAAAACTTTCTGTCATGGCTTGTGTTACCACCCTGGCAAGGTTGAAGTGTCCCTGAGACAACCTGAAAGACTGGGCAATGCTAAGTCCACTTTTACTGGATACCAGCTTGCCTCAGTGAATTCATCTGTGCAGGAAATCTGGTTTTAGTTCTGTTTGTTCTCTGTACCAGCTCCTTTCACATGTGATGGACCACGCATCCCTTGTGTTTTGACAGTCTTCCCTTGCAGAGAACTGTATTCTTTTTTTTTAACATTTTCTTAAACCCTCTTATGTGTAGAATTGATGGATAAGATACCTAAAGGTGATACCATCATACCCTTTGTATTTTCTCATTCTGATATATTTTCCAGAGCTGCTAAGCAACCAAGCAGGTGGTGCCCATTCCTGAACCTGACCTGGGCAATTGGTGCAAGTTGCTCAGCGGGTTTTACCCATCAGACCCCATAGAAATGGTCACCTCTGATTCTTGTTAACAGCACTTGTGGCGAGTTACAACACTGAGTACATTTTGTATTTCTTTTTCTCTTGTCTTAGGTTTTCTACCCTAGCAAAGATGGCACTAAAATCCCAATGTTTATTATTCACAAGAAAGGAATTAAATTAGATGGTTCTCATCCTGCCTTCTTGTATGGATATGGAGGCTTCAACATATCAATTACACCAAGCTACAGGTAAGCAGGGTGATTCACAACTTCTTCTGAAGTATCTGATATTACCAGCTGTCACAGACTGTGGGCAGGGTGGACCATGAATCTGACAGGATGCATTTCAGGTTCCTAAGAAGCAAGATGGGTGACATAAGGGCTGTCCAGGCATCATTTGTCTGCCTTGTTAGTTCTGAATTTGAGGCTCACATGTTGGAGCAGAGAAGTGCCCTGCGCTCCTGATGTTTACAACAGTCACCTTGCCCTTAGGATTACACCTTAACCTCTTCTTGCTCTGTCACTGAGTTCAACAGCAAAACATGGAGAAATATATTAAAGGAAATATTTGAGCCCATTGTTGAACTATTAGCATAGGAAGTTTTCTTTTTTCCAAGTTAAACAATTGCCCATATCTAAATATTATAGAAAATCAAATGTTAGACTAAATTTATGTAAATAATTTAAATTTGGCTGCATTTTCGTATAATACTTTTGAGATTACATCAGAAACAAAATCTTTCTGTGTTCCATATGATCAGGAAGGAGGATTGTGTCTTGAGACACAAATGATACAAATGCAAAGCAACACATTGTGAACTAAAAATGCTGTGTTCAGAACAGGCTTTGTAGCTCTCAAAAGCCGTAAGCTTTATTGCATAGATGATCTCTTTAAAGAAAAGCCTTATTTCTTAAGCAAGGCAATTTGAATAGACTTGCCAAGAAGCAGTGCTTGAATACTTAAGAAATGCTCCTAGGTGAGGCAGAGGAAAGCAGAAATGGAAAGGGCTGAATAGAGAACAGTTTTTCAGGAAGCAGAAAAGTAGCTCACCAGAGAAAAATAATCTATTATGAAACAATCCTATTAAATTTATGATTGTTACCTACCAGTCTTGCTTTAGAGTTGCACATTTCAAGAAATCCTTTATAGTGCTTGCCCTTCTTGTTTGCTGTGATTGTATTTCTGAATAGCATTTACTGTTTCTTGTCCTTTTTAGCAAATATCTTGTCTAACAATGGACCTCCCATCTTGAGCTCTGTGATTATTTGTAAGCTTTTTATCTGCCTCATAAAGCTACACTTCTCATTTTCTGTGGTTCTTGAGACATAATTATATGACTAGCATAGCTTTAAAATTCTTTTTGACTTAGGTTCAACCACTGATTTATTACAGTTTATGGTAGATGCTGAAAACTGTGATAAAACTTACCATGTTTTCATTTTTAAAGAATGTAAAATAAATATTACCTATCTATTGATTTAAGGTAAAATTCCACATACTGCAGAGCTGTTTGCTGGCAGAAGGAAAAGGTACTTCATAGTCCCTGCTTCCACCGCCCATCCATTGGCCCTGGTGCTTGCTGGAGCCTTTGCTAAGCTGATTTACCTCACAAGAATGACAGAAAACTATCCCAGCAAAACAGAGTGGGTGGTTTTCTGCCATTTTGGCAAGCTAAAAATTGATTCTCGTAGGAGTCCAGCAAACAGCAGCAAAAGGGTGCAGCTGACATTTAGAAGAGAGGAAGATGGGAATTAGGAGCAGTGACCTATATTTTCCTGAACCCTATGAAACCTTCATTATACAGTTCATAAATTAAGAATATGAATCTGTAACAGTCCCTTAAAAGTGCACAGAGAACTATCAGTGACCTCCAGATCAAAATATATTATCTCACTGACAGTGTAAATAAAACATAATTGGCTGCACCTCCCTCCTTACTCTCCCTGTAATATCAAGATATGATTTTTCAGTTTTTTCTTTTTAAAAGAAAAAAAAAAAAAAAAAAAGAAAAGCCAAAGCCTTCAAATACATGTTTATGGCTAATAACTTGAGAATTGAGTATTTGGTGAGGGAATGTGTTCCAAAAGTCGGCAGGCAAAATCAGGGAAAGGAAATTGTAAGAGGGAATTTATGTCAGAAAGGCAGGATTTCCAGTTCACCCTTTACTTGGCAGATTCCACTAATGTTTTATTCCATCCCTGTTACAATATACTCCAGTATATTGTATTCCACGAGGAGTACTCCACAAGGAGTTCCCAAGTGCTGTTCCATCCACAGCCCAACATCAAGATTTGGTGGGGCTTTGTTTTGTTTTGTTTTGCTTGTTTGTTTGTTTGTTGGGTTTGGGGTTTTGGGGTTTTTTTATGACCACAGACATGAGTGCTAGAAAGCAGCCACAGGATGGCCAAGGCTGAGGTTTGCCACATCATTCACCCAATTCTGAGCTGAGATGTAGCATTCCTGGCTAAATACTCCTAGGCATTTTTACTTAAACTTATAACTCTTAAAACTTTCCACAAAGTATTCTATCTTCTCCTTTCCAGTGGTTAAATTATGTCCTGTATGTCCTCCACCCTATACAGTATTTTATTACTGGTATTTTACGCCCATTAGCATAAGCCAGCTTCTGGTCTGAGGAACTTATTTCTGCTTAATTCACAAATGGTGTTCCTTTTCACATCAAAAATGAAAAAAAAAAATCTTTTTCACTGAAAGCAATAGAAACAAACCAACAGATTACAGGATCCAGAAATAACTGCAAGAATGGTAGGCCAAAGTCATTAGGTCAGTTACAGTAGTGGTTTATTTTTGAATGTAAGTATGCATCTTTCAGATGCTTCTCTGGACTGGGGAACTTCATTTGGTGGCATTTTGAGATGGTGCTTGCTAGAGCACTGTCATTAATTATACTGCCCACATAGCAAGTGCAAGCGAAGGCTGATGGAGCTGATACCAGTCAGAGCTGCTGGGTAAATGCCATCACAAACCCACCACTAATGCCTCAGATTTGGCTAACTACACTGTAGGAACCAACATGTTTCCCTGCACTGTTCTGTGTGTGCCTGCGTGGGTACAGGAGGAGCAATTTCTAAGTCATCCTGGAATACAGCTGGTTGTGCAGCAGTCTGTGAAATTGCATATCAGTGCCATGTTGTTCCCAGCCTTTAAGCACAGAGGTGGTGCAGGGAAGAGAGATTGTGAGCCTGGAGAAAGGTCAGACAACAAAGCAGCCCTCAGTGCAGAGTAGAGGATTATGCCTTTTGCTTATTCTGTTACTCCTCTCTTCAACTCCACAAAAGCTTAAAAAGCAACCAAGTCCTGTGGCTCAGGACTTCTTCCCCATCACCTGTGCACTAGCCTGCATTTTTCTGTCAACTCTAATACCTCACAACAGATCAGTAATTCTGGGGAAATGTTCTTGATATGTGAAGCACAGCTCCTCACATGATTCTCTGCTGTAAAAAACAACATCTGATTTATTATTTTTTTGTTTTTTGCTCCTTAAGAGTGATTAGAGTGTCTGGAAGGAGCTCTCCATAGCAGGAACTATCTTCTGATCCTTCCACTGACTCCATCTTGATCCTGTTGCCCTTTACTTTACCCTGCTTCCAGGAGAGAAGGAAGAACAGGGACAGTGAGCAAAAGCCTACAGAGACTGTTGGAAGGAGCAGGGAGCCAGACTTTGTTTTGCAGAATGAGACATTTCATAGACGTGCAGGTTGACTGGGCAGTTTGCTGTGACTCAGACACCGAGCTGACTTGAAATCAAATCTGGAAGCAAGAATCTACCTGGAAAAACACTGGAGGCAGTAATAGGGTTGTGTGTAAAACTTGAGCTTTGTGCTGTCTGATTACTTGGAATTTTCACTTTTAAAAAAAGTAATGAGTTTGGATTCTATAATTGTAATACCTGATTCCTTAAACTTAAAAGTAAAGGTCAAGAGAAAAGCTTTGAGAAAGTTTGTTACAAATATTCAAAATATTGGTCAAGTTAGGGTCCTGACTCACCATGATCCTTCAGACAGGAACAGTTTCTTTTAATAGATGGAAGAGGATGGATTCTGTTGTGGAATATCTTATTTTTTAAAGTATTCTCAGTCAGTATGTTTGGGAAGCAAACTTTTATCTTGCCTGTAATTGTTACTTGGTACTTCTGACTATTAGGGAATCAAATAACTTTGGATCAAGAGGTCCAAAGTTTGAGGCAGACAAGGAAAAGAAGTGCAGAATATTTTGGGAGGGTTTGTACTCTACATACCAAAAATTAAGAAGCCAGTCTCATAAGGCAACCTTCTCTTACGTTACTCCACATTAGCTGTGTAGCAACCTTAAGAGTCCTGGAGCTTGACAGAGTAATACTCTCTGACCTTTGCACAATGTGCTTTTAGAGTAGCAATCTTGCATTTGATCAGCATGTCACAGCAGTGTAAGGAAAATGTAATTCACAGTGATGGTCTTAAGAATTCATTTTACAGAAGCTGAGATAATTCATGGCTCCTGAGCCATCTGATGGGCCAGATAACCAGCCTAGGTAGAAGGTTTTCCTTTGATGGTTATGAAAATACAGAAATCTCTTACCAGTTATCCTTGTGCTTTTCTTTTTCTTTCCTTACTCCTTGATATATACTCTCAAGAGCATGTGCCAGTACATAGGTAATTTCTTTGGGAAGTATGAAAACTCCACCTGTTGCGATACTATATCCACGTGAGACATACTGTAAGACTACCATTTTCAAGCCATTTCTTATTAGTGGGACTTTAAGGGAAAAACACACAATCCTTGCCCCTGTGGTTGAACAAATTTATTTTCTGCAGACAGTGGTTTCTGGATGACCAAAAAATTCAAGTAAATAAGAAATTGAAATATACTAGAGGGGGGGAAAAATACTTGTTGCGGTTAAATTTCAATATTTTACTTGTCTCCTTAGCATATGTGTGGTTTGCCTTCTGCAGCTTCTGCTATATTAAACTACTGCATCAACCGCAGATCAACAGTTAATATTTTTTAATTGTTAAATATAATTTGAATTAAATTCAGTCCATTTGAAAAAGAAAATATAATAATATCTTTGATGCTTTTGTAATTTAGCATTTCTAAAAAATATGCCATTTTGGCTTTCAGACAGGTTCAGGAGATAGTAGGGGAGGCAGAACTTGTAATTTTATGTTATACTATTTGTTTTGTATTTAGCAATGTGAGAGAAAACTGAATGAGAATGAGATTGACCACCTGCTGATGTGACTGCTGACCGTGGCACAAAAGAATGGTAGATACAGAATTTTTCTTTGCAAACACAGTATTGCAAAGGTCCAAAAGAAGTATATCAAGCAGAAGTTAGGTTGAAAATACCTGCTCATAAACAAAGATCAAGTGCTGATCTTAATTCTTTGATTTCTTCCTTTGGGCTAAATCTTCCTTTCCTCTCTGAAGAAGTGGAGGTCCCATGAAGGAGGAACAATTCAGAAAGCTATGGAGGTCCAATGGTACTGCATAACTCTAGTCTGCAAACTAAGTGCTTTGAACATAATTTTTGTAAATGGTGACACATTGAGTGGTCATCTGTTAGGCCAAACCACTGGCCACACTCCTCCAAAGAGCAGAACTAAGGGAGGAAGAACAGACCAACATTGGTTCCTTCCTCTCCTAAAGCTGCTGGGAGTTTCATTTCCATGGATAACCATTATATAAAGCCTAGCTACTCAGGTTCACTATCAAGAGGGACTTAATTCACAATTTCATCATTGATTTTGGGAGAGATCTTTCCCTCAAAGTATTTTTGCAGAAGTGGTAGGTGTATAAAAATTGGAAAATAAAGATTATCCTCTTATCTGTTTGCTTTTTCAGTGTATCAAGGCTTATTTTTGTGCAAAACCTGGGAGGTGTTCTAGCAGTGGCGAACATCCGGGGTGGGGGCGAGTATGGAGAGACCTGGCACAAAGGTAAGGCAGTCAAAGCACAGGAACAAAACTGCAGGCTTAGCAATGAAAATTGCAACATTTTCTTTTCACTCCTTCCTCCTTTTGCATTTTACTTATTCTGCAAAAAGTAAATCTTTTTCCTTGCTTACATGTTAGATCTGTATGTTTTCCAGTGTTAATCTCATAGTTTTCATCTATTTTCAGAGTATAAACTTTTCTATATTGTTTTTGCGTAATTTATGAATAGACTTTTTTTTTTTAATATTTGATGAATGTGACTGGAAAAATGTGTTCAACAAAAGGATTTTCAAGCACTGGAACAGGCTGCCCATGGAAGTGGCTGAGTCACCTTCCCTGGAGGTATTTAAAAGACACATAGATGTGTCTTAGGGACATGAGAGTGCTGAGTTGACAGCTGAACCTGATAATCTTAAAGGTCTTTTCCAACCTAAATGGTTCCGTGAATCTGTGACTGAAGTTCATATGAAAACCGTCAGCTCCAGAAGTGCATTCACATCATCCCCTCCAAGCTCTTGGCGTATCCAACTTGTAGGTAACCATTTGTCCTTCTAGGGTTTTTTTTAAGATGACTGTCATGCCACAGGGAAACTCAGTAAACACTGAAAAGCTCTGTCAATCTCTTTTCCCTTTTTCTTAACACTTTTGATGTATTTCTGTCCATGTTTTTCCCATCAAGTTCTTAATCTTAATCAGACAAACTGTCTTTGTCTACTTGCCTTATTGTTGACAGCTGTCCACATTCCTCCACCAGGGGAAAAAGCTTGAAAAAGTCGTTCTTATCTCAGGAACATACCTATCCTTATTTAACCATGACACTTTAGTCATATTCCAAGAATCTGGCACATAAGTTGCTGGGAATGTTGTGAGCAAGGCAAACGTACCAAAACAGTGGTGCTTATGATCTAGCAATTTGCCATGGCAGTAATCCATAATATCTTTTTATCAGACAAAATGGTATTTCCAGATCATTGCATCTTGATTTTACTATTTCATCTCTGGTAAATTGTCTGGGTCATTTCCTCACAATTGAGTTAATTATGTAATAGGTTCATAAATAGAAACTGTATTTGCTTGCAGATACAGGATATTATTGCTGAAGATGAAATATCCTTCATTAATTTTAATTTGCAGATTGATTTGCAGTAGGTTTTAATAAAATTTATCTTAATGTGATAATGCTTCTTTGATCCACCTATTTCCTGCTTGATTTTGACCCAAGTCTTTTATTGCAGTTTGAAATAAAATATGTATCTGTTCTTTTTTAATTCCAGAAGCAATTACAGAAGTTTTTTTTTTCACTTAGGTTTAATTTTAAGTAGGATTCTGACCTTACACCAGCCTGGTGTTTTGAGCAAGGAGTAAGATCTATTTTCCCTTTATTGCCACCAGCTTGAAGACTTTTTTGTCATCCCAGTATGTCTCCCCTCAACAGTCTTGTTAATACAAGAACGATGTGTATTTGTTAAAAAAAAAAACAAAAAAAAAAAACCACAAAAAATACAAATATATTGGTTTCAATTCTACAAGATCTTTTTGACTAAATATCAGACTTATCCTGCTAAACTTCTGTGACATAGAAACAAAGCAGCCATTGTAAACTGGTTGTCTAGGATCACTTGATGGAGATTGGAGATGAAGAGACACCTCCAGACTGTAGCTCATCTCACTTAATTTAGGGTAAAAGTTAATTTAGGGTAAGTCCTGGAGGTTCCTGGATCATAGGGAGAACCTTAGGCAATCAGCCTGGAATAACCATCCAGCTTGTAAAGAAAGTAGAAGAAACTGGACTTCATTTCTGCATCCTATGAGCCCTGCTTGCCTGGCTGGGCCACTGCCTTTGCTACAGGAATTGCAAGGATTTTCTTCCCAGTTCCCATTTCTTACTAGCATTTAATTTCCTGAGATTACCATGGTCTTTAGGTATGATAACATTTGAGGAGTATCTAGTTTTAGTCTCTTGCCAAACAACCAAGATTTGAATAACTGTGAGTTCTCTAAGCTGATATTCTTTTATTAAAATAATTGAAAAATTGTAGGGAAAACCATCCTTTTCCTTCCCTATCCCACCCTGCAATTTTTTTTTTTTTCAGAGCTGGAGATCTTATCAATGATGTCATCAGAACCAACGTTTTCTGTCATTATTTGTTCCCTTATACATCTGATGACATTTGGAATTTCATTCAACATGATGGCAGTATCTTAAGCGTTTTCATATTGAAAGTTAATTAATAAAATTTCAAAGCAAGATGCAACTCGGAGAGCTTTATATCATCTGGTTTGAAAACAACTAATAGAAAAAAGAGTAAATTACTCGCCACATATTATATATCCAGGAAATTAGAAGTGCTTATTTTATATAGCCTATTTTATAAGCTGAATCTTTATTGCTTTAAGAAACTGTCACTGAGTTTAAGGATGTTAGAGTCCCATTAGCTCAAACCTCAAGTGTGTTGTATATGGTCATTTTGTATATATTTTGCTGTGCAAAGCTTTTAGCTTTCCTTTCACTGGTTAGGAACATTACCTGGCACTTTCTCCACAGTATAGGTATGTATTATTCAGAGTTTCTGAAAGCATCAGAGTTATTGACAGAACCATCTTACAGCCTCTCAGTGTTGACAGAATCTTTCATTTTTGCTGTTTTTCTAAGCTGCATCAATTATTAAAATATTCATGAAATTGGAATTGTTCCCAGGTATTTTTGGACACATGTTTTTCTGAAGAGATGGTATCAAAAGGATTTTGTGGTATCAATTGATTTGTTTTGTTTCCGTGCTAGGTGGTATCTTGGCCAACAAACAAAATTGCTTTGATGATTTTCAGTGTGCTGCCAAATACCTCATCAAGGAAGGCTACACATCCCCAAAGAAGCTGACTATTAATGGAGGCTCAAATGGGGGCCTCTTAGTTGGTAAGAACTGCTTGTCTATTTCTCAGATTTGGTGCTGGGCTTATTAAAGTAACCAGACAGAAATTGATGAGATCTGCCAGTATGTCAGTGCATTAATATATACCAGATGTTAAATATGTACAGTAGTACTTCATTTGCTGTTTGCACAGGACATTGGAATTTTGCAGTGTCTTGCAAAGGCTGTTAAAAGCCACACAATCTAGTGTGGTAAGAGTTAACCTTGTGGTAGAATCACACAGAAAGTAAGAGTGGCTTAAAAAACATGGTGATTTTTTTTTTATCTTTCTTTCTTCAGGTTAACCATTACAAAGTTACCACTGAACTATTAATTCATATAGCACTGGGAAACTGTGTGTGGTCTTTTAAGTGTATCATGTTCATTTAAAATTCACTGCTGTATTCTTAAATTCAAGGAAATTAATAGCCTCCTCTTAAAGAAAAGTCTTGTCACAGAAAGATCTCTTTCTGAACAGTCTAAGAGTTACAAAATACATTTCTGATAAGATCCCTATCTGAAGGCATCTGAAAGTAACAGTAGAAAAAAGAAGGTGATTTTTTATGCAATTTTGAAAGGAAAAGGAGGCACAAAGTAAATGTATCAGGGTCTGTTTGCCTTTTTGAAGCAGCATGAAAGGTGACAGTATGACAGATTTGAGCTACTTACATGAAAAGGAGGTAAAAAAGGCACCTCAAGTTCATAAACCACTGAATTACGGAAAACAAGCAGTTTTCCTGGGCCTACTCTGCTTGCTCTTGTTTTTGTATTCATCTGCTGCTCTATACTGACTCTGTTGATTTTATTCTGCTTTTCAGTGAATTGGCATCCAGCATAAGAAAAAGGATTTGGAATTACACAGCTCTTTGGTCTAAGCCATCTTGGCTAGACCTGCATTATTATTTTTAAAAAGCAATTGTTTTAAAGATCAAGTAACAAGTACTTGTAAAGCTGTATTTTGGGTTTTGCTTATATGCTTCTCAATAACAAGTGGCAGAAGGTGTTTCTGCATTTAAAATAGAAATGGGTGAATATGATAAAGGATTAAAGGGTTTGTACTCCCATTTGGAATGCAAGCATTGCACAAGTCAGTTTTATGTTGGGCCTAAATATATAGTTGGAAATACAATTAAACTTTGCATATATTACATTTCTTCTGAAAATACTTTATCGTTATGTGGACTTCACTTCAGTCAGGATGAGATTCATCCTACCCAGCTTCAGTAAGAAAACCCCCTGGATTACTTCCTGAATATTCAGCTGGGCTCCTTGTGTCAATAAGGGGAAGCAAATGACAACTTCAGGAAGTACATCATTCTGGTAGGAGACAGGTGTTAGGAATCTAGACCTCCCTGCTCTAAAAAATCTTGTTAGAATCCTTCCCTTGAATTTACTGGTAGATTACAGTAAATCCAGAAGTCCAGCAGGATTTCTATGCTCTTGGTGAGCCAGGTAGGGATTTTCCTTGACCGAGGTGAATTCAGGAAATTCCTATAAGGTCTTTTTTATCAAAGCAGAAGTAAATTTTGCAATAGTTGCTGATGCAGCATTAGAGATCGTAACTCATCCTGTAGGTTCAAGGACCCACTGCCAGATTTTCTTTGTTCTTATTTATTGAAGAAAAAGCTGACAAGGAAGAATATTGTCACTCTTCCAAAAAACTGTTTTCTTTCAGTCAGAATAGCAGGAGGTGTCTCTGAGGACTGCAGAGCCCTGAGCTCATCTTGCCTCATTCAACTGCAAAACAAGACTTCCTTGTCCTGCAGTGTGATCCCCAAGCTAAGCAGAGCAGCACAGCTGTGAGCTGAAAACCTCTGTGCAAGTGCAGTGTTTGACCTCTCACGTTTGCCTAGACAAAACCAATTCTGACATTTTGAAGGCTTATTTTCATACTGAATATAAAGCTCAAAGTTATGTATAGGGGCATAAAATTCACAAATAAATTGTTGTTCCAAATTACACTTTATTAATGCATATCATTATTGTGGCTAATTGAAAAGGTGCAGTGTGCATGGATGAGTGTCTCCATAGGTGACTTCTCACTGAAGTAACTACTTAAGGAACTAGCAAGAAGCAATTTCTTCCAAAATCCTGAGCAACAGACAGTGCTTCAGGAGACACTCTGAAATAAAGAATATTAAAACAAAATGTTATGGTAGTTGTTCTGACTTTTGTTCCTACCACAATACCATTTATGTTCATAAAAGAAGATAGCTTGAAGAGGAGGAATCTGATCTTTGTGTTAAAACCTAGAGATCTTTTACATAGCATCTTTTTAATATGTACCTTATGGAAATGACTCATAAATAAGGAAGAGTTAGCAGAGTTGCATATCAGAGATGACCAGAAGTAAAATTTCATTTTTCAGAAAGTAAAAATCATGTTTAAATGAAGAAAATAGGATATAGTGTAAACTCTTGGCAGGGACAGACAGGAGACTGATGAGAAAATTGCTTTCAATATTAAGATTAGCAATGACATTTTTCTATGCACATCAGAGGCAGGAAGCTGGCCAGATGATCTGTGGGACTTGCAGGTTAGTGAGATGAAAAAGGAGCATCAAAGAAAATTAATTGCAAATCAGAACAACTAAATGGTCTGTTTGTATTGATGTTCCCTCCTGAGGAGAGGGTTGGAGGTTCCCTGCACCAGTCTGTCTTCATGGGGAGTATTCTGGGGAGATCCAGTTGAAGCATCAGCAGGAAAGTTTCAGACTGAATCAATCCAGTGAAAAGCAGTGTGTTGCCAGGACCAGATGGTGCATGTGCAGGATCCTAAGTGAACTCTGATATGAAATTGCAGGCTACTAAGCCTGAATGTCTGAGGAACAGAAGGGGGCAAGTGTAATGCCAAGATTTAAATGTTTCGTGGCGATCCACAAGCTGCAGCTGAGTAAATCTGACTTCTCTAATGGGCAAGCTAGTTGAAACCAATAAATAATAGCTGACATAAAAGAAAGAATTCTGCAGGCTGAAGTTGCAGCTTTCAAATGTATTAGAGTTATCTGAAGGAATCAAGCTACATATGGGGCTTGTAACAGTGATTTAGGTGAGGAGCTATTCTTGGATTTTCAAAAGCTGTGAAAGAAAGTCCTTGCTGAGCTGGAAGCAAAGTCATGTCATAGCAATGTCATGGTTAGCAGGAGGCAAAGAGTGGCGATAATCAATCCATTTTCACAATGGACTAAAACAAAGGAGATAAGAATTTGGGAAAGATTATACCTACATGTGGATGCACAGTGAATAGTTCTGAATTAAGGGATTCTGGGATCTATTGTAGTAGCTATGTGATGATTTCAGTGCTCTTATTTCTTAAAATTCAAAAAAGGCAGGGGAATTTGTAAAATCACCAGGGAAAAGGTTTAAATCAAGAAACAGCAATTGGAATTGAAGAACTTACAAGATATGATGAACACTGGATGAATAAACAGTAAGAGAGGAAACAGTTGTATTTACAGAGGATATGTGTTTTGATAGCTTTTTTATAGGATGGCTGAAGATAACTCCAACTCAGAGAAAACGGAAATAACTAGTTAACCAGATTATAATTTATAGGAGAGATCTCCCAGTTGCCACTCTTATACACTGAACACTGAGCTTGATGGGCCTACTGCAGTTATTTTTAAAATATATGAAGCAAGCATTAGTCTTAAAGAAATTGTCCCTTCCAGTTGTAGGAATATAAAAAATGTAAAACAAGAAAATACAGCACCAATTCATTTTGTTAATTTGAAGTTATTCCACTGTTCTGTAACCATCTGCTTTTATCAAGACCCTTTTCTTATGGGTTTACATAGTAGTAATGGAAGACAATTTTCATCAGCAAATGGAGGGCTTTTGATCCTTAATGCCCTTTTCTTTCTTGAGACTAGTATTAAAAGTTTAAACAGCGAATGGTTTAGGTACCTTCAGTACAGTAGTTCAAAATTTCACATGCTTTACAAGTTCATTTCTCCTTCAGTCCCAATTTGGTGGTTTGAAAGGAAGTTTTCATAAACATATGAAGAAGAGCACAGAAATGGTTCTTAAGTTCTTTTGAACATACCATTTTTCAGAATTAACGTTTTTTATCCATTTGTGTATTTGCTTACAGTTTTGCTTGAAAGTCTATTTGACTTCATATTCACTGACAGCCTGCTCCCAGTACAAGTTGGTAGTGAATCTTTTACTGTTGAACTTAATTCTTTAAGATCTGAATACTAATGGAATTGTTTCCCTGCTGAAGCTGCCTGTGCTAATCAGCGCCCTGACCTGTTTGGTTGTGCCATTGCCCAAGTGGGAGTGATGGACATGCTCAAATTCCACAAGTACACCATCGGCCATGCTTGGACCACGGACTATGGTTGCTCCGACTGTAAGGAGCAGTTTGAATGGCTGCGCAAGTAAGTGCCTTTAAATACTTTCTGTGGTTATAAAACACGTAGTCTGCTCAACAGTTTCTAGTTGTCATGATCAATATCTATTCTAGTGATTACTTCATCCTTTCCCACACTGAATTTGGGGAGTTCAGCATTCCCTTACTAGTCAGTTTTGAATCAAAGACTGTCTTCAACACCTTGTTGAATCAAGTGGTTCTGTTTTCAAAGACCTTGTTCTCCTAGCAGCTTTTAACAGTTCATAAGGTTTTTTTTCTGAATAATGACTCTTTTAGGCTATTGCAACAGAATATTCTCAAGTGGATCACTACATAAATTGTATTTTTTACCATGAGGGAGACATAGTCACCATTGTGAATTGTATTATACAATGTGGGTTGGATTTGTAGGAATTGAATGGCACTAGACCATAATAAGATCTTAATTTCTCAGCTTCTGTTGAGAGTCTCAATTTCCGTTTCCAGCAGGATGGATCCTGCTATGGACTTGACAGGTTTTGCTTCAGTTTCCCTCCCGGCTTCTGATATTTTGGACATTCCTGTGAGATGTATGCATGCACCTCTCTTGAAAATAAAGAAATGTACTTGCTTCACATTTCAGAGCCAGAGATCTGTGGCCACTACTACGTGTCAGTTGCCATTAGCACAATTCTGATTAATGTAACTGAGCACTGTTGTATTCTGAGTACTAACAAATGCCACTGTGATGGTTTCAGTAAGAAAGGACCTTCTTGTTGGGTCTTGAGGAAGAAGATATGGAAACATTTGTGTGTTTTTTCTCAGGTACTCTCCACTTCACAATGTCAAACTACCAGAAGAAGATGGCATCCAGTATCCCTCCACACTGCTTCTCACAGCAGACCATGATGACCGTGTGGTCCCTCTGCATTCTCTGAAGTTCATCGCTACCCTGCAGTACATTGTGGGCCGAAGCAGTAAACAAACCAATCCACTTCTCATCCATGTTGACACCAAGGCTGGGCATGGAGCAGGAAAGCCAACTGCTAAAGTTATAGAAGAAGTGTCAGATATGTTCGCTTTTGTAGCACGATGTCTAAATCTTGAGTGGATTGAATAGGAAAAATGCTTATTACTGTCTCCTTTAGAAAACAAGGGCTTTAACATTTAAGAACAGCCACACTACTACTTGGTGTAGTACTTACATTTAAGAACTGCAGTTTAATATTTTATTGATCCAATCTGCTATGAAGTTTTGATCTGTGCTTCCCTCTTTTTGGTATTTCTTTGATTTTTTTTTTCTACTGCATTCCAAACTCCATTTTGAAAAGCATGTTCAAAAAAATAGCTGAGCTATTCTCAGTACTGGTGTGAAAATGTAGATTTCAAAATTAGTGCTATTTGAGCTTATTTCCTGTAAGCAATTTTAATGTATTTCACCTCTAAACATATCCAGATCATTTGTAATTAAATGTAAGTACTGTTCACATACAAGATCTCTGAGCATATTTTATTTACACAATAATTTATTTAAGAATGTAAACGGAAGGTGTTCAGTGATAACCAGGAAAAACTGAAGAGACAGTAATCTAGTTACATCAAATATTATTAAAAAGCTTGTATTGCATTCTGTTCATAAACGTGTTACAGTCTATAATAATGATTTTGCTAAATTGTTCTTTCTTTCCAAAGAGACTTCAAAATGTCACCAGTGTTCTCTTCTGCCATTTTATTTCTACACAGAAGAGAAGACTGGAGGCTGAAAAACTTGATGAAATCTTAGGTTCTCATTGTAATCTCAGTCAAGCTATACAGATACTCTCCAACAACCCATGTGAAATTATTTCTTCAACTGTTTCTGAAGAGTAGACCAGGCACTGATTTAAATAAATGAACAAAACATAACACAAAACAAAATAGAAAACCCACCCCAACCCAAAGGCACAGCTTTGTCCAGATTACTCAGGTTCAGTTTTTTTCTGATGCTCCTCACAGGACATTCTCTAACAAAGCAAAATCTGAACATGCATATATAACTTAGTTTTGGCTACAAAACAGCAAGAGCTTGTAGTCAGACTCCCCTGTTGATTTGACATAGGCATATTATTTGAACTGCCATTTTTCCCATCTAGGCTGTAGAGCTGTAAAGTAGATGTGAGTATTTGCCTACTATTTAATCTCTGATGCACTGCAGGAATTACAGTTTGATTTGCAGTGGAAAAAAGTATTCTATCAACTATTATTAGTCTTGTTGCCCCTCCAGAAGACATCACTGTTTCTCATTTTTGGATGAACTGATCTAGTATTACAGAATCATGCTTGTCATCACATTCATACTTAGACCCTAAGGACTGTATTTTAACTCTGGGCTCAGGAGTTTCATCTCTAAACAAACAATGTCTTGGTGCAGGAAGAGCAAGGAGTGGTATTCAAAAGTGAAGGAGATGCTCTAAAGAGCAGCAAAAATAAAAATAAATTTGTACTAGAGTCACTCTGTGTTTCCCTCATGATCTGGACTTCTTTTATTCTCTTTGGAGTCCAGGAACAATCATGCTTATTATGTATGGCTAATTTGACTTTAGGAGAAAATAAAAAACTATTTCTGCTTTCATATGAAATACCATATTTAAAATCTGTATGTGATCTGGGGTTTATTGTAAATGCAGGCGAACCCAATGGGAAGAAATGACGATGTCTGACTCAATTCGGAAGGCTGAATGATTTCTTTATTATAACTATGCTAAAATACATTAATATACCATATAAAAAACAAGATACTAAAACTACATACTACTTTCTCTCCACAACTCGTGACCCTCTCTCGAGAATCCACACGCAGGTGGATTGGACTGGCCATCAGGCTCAATCCTCACCAGAATCCAATCAAGCACTCACTCCAGGTAAACGATTCTCCAAATACATTCCACATCGGAAAAACAAGGAGCAGAAATAGAAATTGTTTTCTATTTCTTTAATTTCTCTCTGTGCACCTCTATGAAAAATCCTGAGAGTGAGAGAAATGTGCTTGCCACATATCACCCTTTCTGTATAAATAAAAAAAAAACCAAAAACCTGCATTTGCAGTTATTCTGCAGGGCCCTTGCAAAGAAAGCAAATACATCTCAAGAGGTTCCCTTATCAATTTGCTAGTTATCAATCAGAAGCCAAATCAAATGCTGATGTGGAATGTTCAAAGAGATCCTTTACCTGCAATAACATATATCAAATCTCTAAAACAAAACTTACAATATAAAACCCCAAACAATAATGAAAAGAATGTTCAAATCCCAAAGTCCAAACAGCTGAGTCTCGGGAGATGTGTCCATCGAGTGGAGATGTTGATCTTGACATCCTTAAAAATCCTTCTCAGTCCTGAAACAGAACAACTGAAGAAAGTCCAAACAACAATGAACAAACCTATAAAAAAAAAAAAACAAATGAACCGCCAAATGTGACATCATCTAATTATCAAACACCAAAACACCTTTTCCGTGCAAAAACCATCACCAAATTCAAAAAACTCAGAAAATCTCTGAAATGCCATGGTCAAAGCTTTGAAATCAACCACTTTCTTTCTTGTTTCTTATTTTTTTCAACCATCTCTATTTAACTAATCTTAAATCTAATTCCAGTGAATTGTTTTTTTTAATCTTGGAATCAGAATGCCCAGCAAGCAGCAGGCTTTAAGACCTGCGGAGCTGGTGTCCCCGGTCCATGTGGGCGGAACACAGACCCCAAACCCGGCCGTGGCGGGCGCGGGGGCCCGGGGCCGGGGGGCTGGACCAAGAAGAACGCTGCTCCCCGGAAAGGCTCTGAACTTCCTAACTCGCTGTCGCGGCAGCCGCAAAGAGGCGCCGGGCAGCGCCAGGGAACAGGCTGGGAGGGGGCGCCGAGCCGAGCGGAGGCGGCGGGGCGAGGGGCTCTGCTTCGAAGGCGGCGGGGCGGGCTGGGATCTCCCCGGCATCACAGCTCGCACCACGAGCACGCTCCGTCGCTGCAGGAGCCGTGGCCGCCGGCTCCGAGGCCGGCCCGGGCGCGGCCAGGGCGGCGTCTCCGCGGTGGGTGCTTCCCTCGGCTCCGCCGGGGCAGACAAGGCACTGAGGCTGCGGGCCGGCTCCACCTCCTCCGTAGGAGCAGGCTTCTCTTGCAGGGAGGCAGAGAAAAACATCTGAGCCCCGGAGAAGGGCTCTCCCCACAGCGAAGATTCCTTGAGCAAGCTGGTCTCTGTCCGGCCATGACGGGGGGCTGAAGGGCCCCGCTGGGTGCAGGGGACTCCCCCCGCCCTCTGCAGACGTGCTCATTGGGATCCATCTCCGGACTAGCCGAAAAAGCTGTATAAAAACTGTCGCGTATCCAAAGTCTGGGAAATCTTGCGCGCAGCGTTCCTTGAGGAAGAAAACAGAGCTTTCCAAGCCTCTGGGTTCAGGGGAAAAGCCAAACTCCTGAAAAAAACACGAGTGTCTGCAAATTCAAGAAACTCCAACAAATCATCGTCGGACACAGTCTCTCCAATAGATCTGAGCCAAATCTCTCCAGACGGTATATATAAGCTGATCCTCACAATAAAAATCTGCGTCCAAGTCATCAGACATCTCTTCCCAAAGTTAAGGTCCACCCCAGGTCAGGGCAGTATTATAATCAGAAAATCGGTACCTTTTCAAAGGCAGGCAGAGGCGTCCGATTACGGCAAACTGCTCGGGGCTGCACCTGGTCCTATGGAGAGGGTTTCCACGGTGTCTTACATCCTCCGATCCCTCGCAGGGACTTCGGACAAGCCTTTTCAAGAGGGTTCACCTCCTTTCCCGTGTTAAATCACGGCTGTGGGCCGATCCAGGTCCTGGTTCTTCATCCAACGTTCGGGGTCACCGCTTACTGTAAATGCAGGAGAACCCAATGGGAAGAAATGACGATGTCTGACTCAATTCAGAAGGCTGAATTTCTTTATTATAACTATGCTAAAATACATTAATATACGATATAAAAAACAAGATACTAAAACTACATACTACTTTCTTTCCACACCTCGTGACCCTCTCTCGAGAGTCCACACACAGGTGGATTGGATTGGCCATCAGGCTCAAACAATCCTCACCAGAATCCAATCAAGCACTCACTCCAGGTAAACGATTCTCCAAACACATTCCACATCGGAAAAACAAGGAGCAGAAATAGAAATTGTTTTCTTTTTCTTTAATTTCTCTCTGTGCACCTCTATGAAAAATCCTGAGAGTGAGAGAAATGTGCTTGCCACAGGGGTTAATTTGGGATCCACAAGTATGAGAGTTGTTTGCAAGATACTCTGTAAACTTTTGCACTCTGATCACCGCATTAAATAATCAGAATAGAGAGTTGAGGGATGGCTGATTTTTTTTCCTTCCAGACTGTGAAAATGAGGTACAGATTCAGCAGATTCAGCCCCTTTTCCCAGAGGTATATGAACTGCTTTCTTTGATCATCTAGAAATTTTCAACAGCTTTCCCACGTGGCAGAAACAAAGCATATGAAGATGTGCCATCTCCATTTGAAATACTCATAGATTCATAGTTGTGGCATGTAGCTTTCTATTGAATTTATAGTTTCTGTCAAGAGGGCAGTACCCAGTTCACCTCTGATACAGAGCTTTGCAGGATAGGGTGTGTGAAAACATGGTCCTCAGACATTCAAGAAATAGAGCTGAACTGTGTCAATGCATTAAATTGCAAATACCTGAGTACAGCCAGCTCAGTCATCTCTAGATCTGTTCCTAAAAATGCTTTTCCATGTTCTCCAGTTGCTCAAGCACAAAACTTCTGGCACAGGTTAAAAGTAACTCTTTTTACTCCTGAAGCCTTCTGTTGAAACTGAGTTCCCTGAATGATTCAGTGTCATGACAGATGACCCATAATCTGGGAACTTTGGAAACAAACATTTCTCGGAGTGACAATCAGTAGTACTGAAAGTGGAGCTACTTGCTGGAGACACCACTCACAAAGTAAATGTTCCAGAGTATTTCTTGTGGCATGCTGGGGTAAGTATTGGAAAGGCATTGTGTTTCTGTAACAGGGTCATCATGTCAACATTTATTTGATCTTAATCAGCTGTGCCAAGTTCAGGATGCAGGTGCCAAAAAAAATGGTGTTGCAAAGCTGTCCTGTTATCTGAGTTGCTGCTTTTGAGGCAGACAGGGTCATATTCCAGCTGGAATCTGTAATTAAGTCTGAGCAAGTAATGCTCTTGTAATATAGTGGGATTTCAACCTTTGGGGTTTTGCTTAAATAGACCTGGAGCGAAACCATTCCTGCTGTATAAAACATAATGAAATTTCTGTTAGTCTAGTTTCAAGGTTATTTTCTCTATAGTGGAAATGCTATTTTATGAAGATGCTCTTGTGCTTTATGGTGTCTATTTCCAGTGTGTGAAGCAAAATTCACAAGCTGGGCAAGGTAACCTACCAAATATATGCTTTTTCAAAACCACCTTAGAAAAATAAATACTGATGTTTTGCACCAAGATCCAAGCCCCCAAAAAAGCTTCGTAAGAGGCTTATGTTACATGAAGAAAAATCTGGTTTTATGTGAAAATAAATGAACTTTTTACATAATTCTTCTAATAGTCTTCACAACTAATGTAAAGATATCTTAGTTGTCTTTCCTCCCATGAATGTACATTTGCATTAGAGTTGATTTATGTGAAAAAGGTCAGAAATATTTTTAAAAGCTTATTTTTAAAAGAGAGATTTTAATTCCTTTGCATTGGAGTTAATTTACATTTTGATAGCTGCAAAAAAGATAGATATATAGATAGATCTATATGTGTGTATGTATGTACTGATTTCAGCTGGGAGCTGCACTCTATAGCCTAGGGATTGAAGAGGGCAGCTAGCCTGTGGGTATGTAAGAATAAAGGATGCTCAAGACAGAGTTTGGAGATAGATGCCTATCCCTGGCACCTAGAACTTCTGGAGCAGGATTTTCTTGACTCGGCTCTACTTTGCCATCTGTCTGTAGGAAGGCAGAAACATGAGCAGCAGTACTTCTGGATTCAGTATGGCAAGCAGCAGCTTTCAAAGATCAATGTTGCCAGGTCATTTATTTATTTTTAGCCTGAGGTTGCCCCTCAGGATTGCCTAAAGATCTGCTTATAGACTTCCTGACAGTCTCTCCTGTGACAGGGGTTTTCCAGCCTGAGTAGGATTTAGGGGGAGGGCCAAGAGAGGGATTTGGAAGCCAGACTTAATAAACAACCACACAATTTTCTGCCAAGCTGTTCTACTTCGAAAATTTAAGTAGACCACTTTTGTGTAATTGTCTCTTTGTCCAGATCTCTCAAAATATGGATAGGTCCTACTGATTTGAACAGCCAGATTTGGCAACGTGGTTCATTTTTCCATGTGTTAATTACTTCTGCCTTCAGATACGTGCTGGGAGGAAAGAAAAAAAAAAAAAACCAACCCCATTGCTTGGGCTTTTTTTAGCTTGTTCTTGCAGAAGAGTGATGTGGGGTAGCCTTCCAGTTCTCGTGTCCCTGAAGATAACTATAGTGTGTCCTCAAGATAACCTTATCCATTAATAGAAAATTCTGAATAAGCTTATATCCTCAGTGTATTCATGGGAGAGGAATCCTAGTGACAGA